GTCTTTCTCAGTCAACCACTCACCCTTCCTTTCAAATTCTGTATCAAGCGACTTCCAGAACTGGTTTCTGTGTCCTGTTCTAGTTGGGTTTTATTCTTAGCTTTTGTTATTTCTGAACAGAAAGAAAAATGCTGTTGTAACTACCATGATAGCATCAAGTTAAAACTGAATTGCTTTCTATTTTTTCCCCTATTGATTTATTCTTCTTTGTACTTGAATTATGGGTGACACAAAACATAACATTGGGGCATGATTATTTGGATTTGTTCAGGTAAAAACCTTATCACACGTAGTCCCTTTTGAAGAGATGGTGGTTATCTGATGCTCGCTTCACAGATAAAGAGATGAGATTATCTAATGTCAGTTTAATATATGACACTTTCTTCCTTTCTCATAGAATTACCTATTTATATGAGATGTGTGTATGTGTGCCTCCAAGTCACCTGCTGACTTATGGTGACCCCATTAATTTTGTAGGGCTTTCTCAGGCAAGAAATGCTCAGAGGTGGTTTTACCAGCTCCTTCCTCTGAAATAAAACCTGCAGCACCTGGGATCCCTTGGCGATTTCTCATCCAAGGACTAACCAGTGCTTGCCCTACTTAGCTTTCAAGATCAGATGGGATCTGGTGTTTTTAAATAAGATATTTATTTAATAAGGGTATTTAGACCCTTATCTTTGAGAGCCAGTGTGGCATAATGGTTTGAGTATTGGATGACACTGGAAGCCAGGGTTCGAATCCATGAAACGCACAGGGTGACTTTGAGAAAGTCACATTCTCTCAGCCTGAGAGGATGGCAATGGCAAACCTCCTCTGAACAAATCTATGGTAAGCTGGCCTTAGAATCGCCATAAGTTGGAAACGACTTGAAGGCATACAACAATAATAAGATATAGATATAGAGAGATCTATATAAGAGCCAGTGTGGTGTAGTGGTTTGAGTGTTGGACTATGACTCTGGAGACCAGGATTTGAATCCCTGCTTGGCCATGGAAAACCACTGGGAGACTTTGGGCAAGTCACATTCTCTCAGCCTCAAAGGAGGACAAAAGCAAATCCTCTCTGAACTATTTTTGCCAAGAAAATCTCACAATAGACTTGCCTTAGACTAGAGTCACCATAGGTTGGAAGTGACTTTAAGGCAGAACAACATATACATATGTGCTTAGCTCCCACCTTTCTGGCAGGGCTAGGATGAACGCTGCTTCCGGCATGATTAGAAAGAAGTTCCGTTAAAAATCACAATGAGTTATACATATTAAAACACGTGTTAAATAATTTATGCTGTTAAAAGCACAAATCATTTTAAAGGCAGTTTAAGACTTGATGCTAATAACAAATAGGATTTAAAAAAATATTTTTTAAAGAGTCCAGCCCCCTTTAATAATTAATACAGGAAAGATAGCTGTTGAAATACATCCTGCATTTTAGCACAAACTGCAAAAGAGAGAAGGGTCTAATAGAAGCAGAGAAAGTGCAATGGGCAAACCAGAATGAAGTACCATTATAATGTAGGAGATGCTTTGAATTAGAAGTACAGCTCATTGGTTTTTCTGTTTTGCTTCTAACAATAAATCACCCACCCCGAGCTTCTCTTTGTGCCTCTGTTCATCCCTTTCTCCTCGTTTTCCTTCCTTTCCCCTCGCTGATGATGATCCTTTTTCTTCTTTCTCCCAAAACCCCCAATTTATTTTTCTCCCCTTGCCCTGTTTCCATTCCTGTTGCTGCAAGGTGAGTGAGACTCTTCCCTATTCGTTTACTTAAATATTTCTATCCTGCCCTCCATCGTGAGATTACAGGGCAGCCTATAATTGAAACCGACATATTTAAAAATAATTCCAGGTAAACATAATAAAATCATTTAAATAGGATAAAAGCATATTGAAGAGATCACTGAATTGAAACAGGAGAAGAAGCTACCATGTTAATAAAACAGAAAAATTGGGTTCCAAGGCTTGGACAAAAAGCCATGGTTTAACAGCATCTATGCTACAGGATTAGTGCAGTTTGACACTGCTTAAACTTACATGGCTTAATGCTGTGGAATCCTGGGATTTGTAGTTTGCTGTTGCACCAAAACTCTCAGAGAGAAGACTGAATATCTCACAAAACTCCAAATCCCATTATTCCATGGCATTGAGCTATGACAGATAAAGCATTGTCAAACTGCGTTAAAGTCTGCAATGCAGATGCAGCCTCTGCGTCTAAAGGAAGCCAGTACTGGTGTCAGTTGGAAGCCACAGGAAACGTGGGGTGCCGCAGTAGAGAAGACCCTCTGCCCAGGTGACTTATGCCCCCCATCCTTTTGTAACTTGCTTGCCACCCAATTACTCTGAGATTTCAAATGAAGCCTCACCTGGTTTCGGAAGCGAAAGAGGGGCAGGCCTGGTTAGTAGATCATAGAATCATAGAGTTGGAAGAGACCCCCTCCCAAGGGCATCCAGTCCAACCCTTTTCTGCCATGCAGGAATACATAATCAAAGCACCCCAGACAGATGGCCATCCAGCCTCTGTTTATTTTTTTTATTTTTT